CTCACCTAACTAACAAGTTTTCCCTGCAAGGACCCTGTAGATGATGGTAAAATGTTTGTATTTATATAGCTTTTTCTAGTCCTCATGACCACTCAAAGCAACTTGCAGGGCAATGATGACATTTTCATTTTTCAGTGAGCTATCCCTTTCAACCTGAGGTTACCTCAGTAAAAAGCAAATCCTGCTATAGGCCCCAGCTTACTGCAAGTACTGTTCTTATAAAAGGATTTGCACATGCTTCTACACAAAAAGGGTCACATTTTATTTTATCTTTGAAATAAAAAGCATGTGAGTTCTCCCTGTTTTAGAAATGATCTGGTACCATTAAGTGTGAGGGCAGTTCCCTGACTGCACAGCCACACTGATGAACTCTTAAGTCATGCAGCATTGTCACTTAATCAGTCGGTAACTTACCAAGGTGATGGCAAGAACAGGTGAACTCATCTGCTCCATCTCTCTGATCCATAGCTTACAGCATTCATACTGAGGATCAAGCTCACTCTGACTGTAAAGTGGGGAAAAGCCAGAATCACCAGAGTTGAACTTATAGGATTTATGACAAGTTCAGTTCTTAAATGATGAAACTACCCATGTAAAGGTGGAAGGCGGTCCCAAAGAATATGATGCTAGATTTCTGTTTCCTGTTTTGGCAAGACATTTGCTGGTGCCATCACTTGCATTTCATATGGAGGTCATAAGTAGGTCCTTATTAAAATTGCAAAAGGTGAATCCATCTGTGGCCTGTACCTGAGTATCATACAATTAGAGGGTATATATTTGTGCTGGTGACCATTATGTTCATGCTTTTGTAGGGATATATTGTAATAAATTGTAATCCAGTTTTCAGGACTCAACCTGGAGAGGTAGATCTCGGGAGGATAGTCACACCTTCTGACCGAGCTGATAGGCAGGCGTTGACGGTTAGCAGGGTGTTGTTTCTGTGCAGAAGAGCGTAGAAGGGCTGACCGAGCCTCTTTCCAGACCTGCTGGCAACAGCAGAGGTTAGCCTGATCCGAAGGTACTGCTACATCCTCCTCCTGGATAGGGAACAAGGGGGGGTTGATAGCCCAGAGAAGAACCCATAAAAGGGGACATGCGTGTGGCCGAGCTGGTGAGGGAGTTGTGTGCGTACTCGACCCAGGGAAGCTGAGTGCTCCAGAAGGTAGGATGGCAGGCGCAGATGCAACGAAGGGCTGTTTCAAGGTCCTGGTTTGCCCGCTCTGTCTGACTGTTGGTCTGGGGGTGATATCCAGAAGAGAGACTAGCCGTAGCCCCCAGCACCTGAAAAAAAGCCTTCCATACATGCATAGAAAACTGTGGAGGTGATTGAGACCAGGTGCAGAACTCACTCCAGGTGCCAGGGCTGCCACGCTCACTCACACTGACACATGCACACATAGAGGAGGAGGAGAGTATGAGGGGAGCAGAGAGAAAAATGGAAAACAGGAGAGGACCGGCATGAGCTGTGACATAAGTGCCATATAT